CTGACATCTTTCTAACTAAACCACTAAGTAAATTTTTTCAGTCACAACTGATATCAAAAAATAAAAAGAACTCCAAGCTATTACCCTTAGTGTATGGATATGTTAGATCCTTTTGCCAACAGAGGACTGGTTTTTTAATTATAAACAACTTTGCTCATAAAATTGTGAGAAGCAGAATCAAAATGTGCAGCATCGGTAAGATAATTATTTTAGGAATAAGAATTTTGATTTTTTTTTTAAATGAGGCATTTAACATTGACATCCAGATATCTTTTCACTGCCCTCTAGTGCAGTGTATATTTCATAATTCTTGTGTAGCTTTGACATGCCTGAACTCTGGAAGTATCAGGGAAGAATGTCATAGCATTCTGAGCAATTAAACCTCTACCAAATTTTAGCTCTATATTTGGTAGATCATTTTGAGGTGTCCAAAATGATCCTTGTAGAGTTAAGTGAGTTTGTAGACAACTTTTTCCATAGTTACCAGTCTTCCCAACTCCACCTAGTCATTATTTTACTTCTTAAAATTTAGGAAAAATATTTTTAATTGGGATACTGTGCCACCTGAATTTAGGGTCAAAAATGTGTTGTTTTTTGAAGCTCAAATCCCACCTTTCCTTTATCTTTAGAATCTTGAAAAGTTACTGTTCTTTTAATCTTACCAGTTTCTCTTCAGAAAAACATGTTTTATTTTATTTATTCAGCTCAGGCAGGGAGTCTGATCTGCAGCAGAGTGGTTGGTACACCAACAGAATCCCTCAGCTGTCTCAGGGGCCCAACACTAGGTACAAACACTCAAGACCCGTCTTCAAGTGGACAGGAAGCTTTGAGAGAGGAAGTGTATTCTTGCAGACTATGGCTACTCCACCTCCTCAAGGTAAGGCTGGTGCTGTAATGCAAGCCAGGTTGGCCCACTTATTCACAATAAGATCATGGATGATCAAGATTTACTGTAGACCGAGCTGGCATGTTTATTTTAATTTTATATAAGAGAGGTCCACCTGGCGCCATCTTTATATGTTTTTGGCACCAGGTCAAGATGATTTTATTTAACCAATATTTTAATGATAAAAAAATTATTATTAGAATTATTTTACTCTAACTTATTTTATTAATTTTTATATATTTCAGTGGTGGGATAGCTAATTTATTATTGTTTAGGATAGCGATGTTATTGTTTATTGTTGTATTTATAGATTGCTGTGAGCCTTCCAGAGATGAAAGTGATTGGACGGCCTAGAAAAATCCTAAATAAATAAATAAATAAAACATGATTTCCATGCTCTAGGTCTATGCCTAGATTGCTTTTTCTGTCTTTCTTTCAACTTGCTTCTTTCCATATGCCTGAAACAGCAGCACTGTTCTCCATAAAACCATCCTTCTTCTATTGCAGGCCAATTACATACTATTTTGTCCCATAATGTATCCCTTTATTCTACCAACTCTTCTTCATTCTTTTAAAATTTTCAGTCAAATCATCAACTCCTTCTGGTTTAGTCATACAGGATTGCTTTATGCTTTACAGGCTTAGCATTTCTTTTCTTTGCATATATGTGTTGAAGCACTCATGACTCCCTACCATGTTCACACATGCAGAAAGATAAGCATCGATTAGAAGTATACTGAACCCATTGTGCACACATAATATTCAATCTGGATAAATATGAAATAATTGAGATATGATTTAATATAACCCTTATCAAAACAGTAGATACATTTTTGACAACCCATCTACAAGTTTTGATAGGGCTTTTGTTCAGACATTAGACATGATATTGCTGACACCAGCAGGCAATTTCTTTAAAAGGAATTAAAAGTTTCCCTACAGTAACTGGGCAACTCTATTCAAGCTTTTACTCAACTAGCAGTCTTAAGTGACAGTAACACATATCAACTAGGTCAGGCAATTTCTCTGGAAGCTAATATACAATGAATCTACCTATCTAAAAGCAGAAGTTTAAAGAATAAGTCATAAAGCATACTCTTAGCACTCTCTGGTCCTGATTAGGATTGAAGAAAATATGCCCAATCTTGCGTGCATTTACTCATGATGGAGCTTCACTGACTTCAATAAAGTTCATTGCCAAATAAATATGTTTTATATTTTTGCCTTTGTCTGCCTTACTAACAGTTCCAAAACACAGGAAATCGGGGGGGGGGGAAATGCTAATATTTTGCCCCATTGAAGCCTAATATTTAAAGTGCACATCTGTAAAACCATTAATGCTACTACTAATGCACTCTGCAGGTCACTTCACCATCAAAGGACAACATGAGAAGTAGATAATGGTATTCATTTTATGTATTTATGTGGGAAATGTGGAAGCTCTGTCTTTTCTGTCAAAGTTACCGTGGGAGATAGCAGCCAACCAAATAATGTTCTGATGATTGCAATAAATGAAGACCTAAGAATGTATGAAACGCCATGCTAGGCAGACCAACAGTCCATCACTTAATCTGCATGGTGGCAAACCGGCTACTCAGGAAGGATGGGTATAAAGGTTCCCTCTGGCCATGCTTATCAGCAACTGATGTACATAGGCATTCCTAGGATAACAAAGGTAGTATATAGCAACAAGGCTAGCAGCAATTGACAGCATTTACCTTAAATTTGTCTAATTCCTTTTAAAGCCAGCAAAATTGGTGGCCATCACTACTTCCCATGGCAGTGAATTCCATAGTGTAAATATCCACTACGTCTGAAGAAATACTTCTTTTAATCTATCTTAAATCTCCCACCAATCAGCTTCATGGGATAGCTCTGACAGCTAGTATTATAGCAGAACAGAAAAATGTCTCCCTCTCCACTTTCTTCACACTTTGCATAATTTTGAACACTTTTATTGTGCCTCCCCTTGCTGGCCTTTTTTCACTAAACATTCTGAGCCACTGAAACGGTTCCTCACAGAGGAACTGCTCTTTCCTCTTGATCATTTTAGTTGCTCTTTTCTGCACTTTTTCCAACTCAATAATGTCCTTTTTTCAGATGCAGTGACCAGAATTGTACACAAATGCATTCATATGAAAGATTTATATAAGGAGATTACAATCCTGGTAGTTCAATTCCAGTTCCTTTCCTAATTATACCTAACACAGAGCTTGCATCTTTCACAGCAGCCAAGCACTGGGTTGACATTTTCAGTGGGCTGCCCACCTCAAGTTCAAGATTCTTTTCTTGATCAGTCACAACTACCTCAGATTACACCTGAGCATATATTTGAAGCCAAGATATTTTTTTTTGCCCCAAATGACTTTATTTTGCTTACATTGACCTGCATTTGCATTTTGATGCCCATTCTCCCAGCTTGGAGAAATCTCTTTGGAGCTCCTCACAATCCCTTTTGTTTTTAATTAAAATAAATATTAAATATTTGATATTGTCAGCAAACTTGGCCTCTTCACTGCTTACTCTTAATTCCAAATCATTTATAAATAGGTTGAAAAATGTTGGTCCTAACATGGAACCCTGTGGGATCCAACTGTCCGCATCCCTCCATAGAAAAAAAGTCCTCTTTACTTCCACTGTCTGCTTTCTGTTCTTTAACCAGTTACTGATCCATAAGAAGATACCACCTTTTAATTCTATAAATTAAAATAGACAAATAGATTTAAGGAATTAGATCT